TGAGACTTGCTATCGATGGATATTTAAAGTGGGCAGATTTAGGACATTCATCTCTGAAATGCTCCTCCCAAATTTCAAGCATTGTACGCTATTTAACACTGGGGTTTTTAACTGTTTTTAAATAAAACCCTTAAATTAGTTCTTTAAGCACTCTTCTAGCTGTGGATTTACAGAAGCCTTCAGGAAGACAAAAGTCATTATTCCCATCTTATGAGTGGGAAAAACACAACAGGAGCGGGGGTAACGATTTGCCCACAGCTATAAGCAGGTCAATGCTGAAGCTAGAAAAAGAAATGTTTTCAGGTCACTGTTTTATCCTCTGGGTCACTCTGCCTTATACTTATCAAGCACATCTTGTTTATAGTAAAGAAATTAAACTCAAAGAATAAAACAATCAGTATTAAATAACTAACATCCCTCTTTCTCAATACTGTGCTTTGTAGACGAGGACAGGGAGACAGATGTGTTTATAACGTTCAATCTGTTGAACCTGAAAATAAAGTGTAGACTGCTTAACCTAAATATAGTCATCAACTCATGGATTTGCCACCGTATTCAGAGTACCTGCCATGCAGCACTATAAAAGATTTTGTAAAGCAAAATTCTGCTGAATGTGCTCATAAATATTAGAATATTCTTGATATGCTATGCTGAAAACATTCAATCTGAGCTGCAAGCAACTAGCATTGCATATCAATTTTTGGAAAATGCTAGTATTTGTATCCAGAGATACTACCAGCAATACAAAGCAGCAAGATACTGAAACTGGCATTACAATGCCTTACACAATTATTTTGGGTCAAAGTATCCCATTGTACATAAATTCACATAATGAAGTTCAGTACAAAGCAAACTAACAATGGACTTGGCACAGAGAAACAGATCAGCAGGTGCACTGGGAATTCAATGGAGAAAACTATTTTAATACTCAATGTGTACATAAGATTGTCTTTGAAACTTGCTGAAAAATGCAAATAATATACATTAAAATTAAAATTTCTTAAAAGAAAATTCAAGCTTGCTTAAAATATAAACCGATTCCAGAATCAATGTTTTTTAAGAGCTGTGATTAACTGATGAGAGGTATTTTAGACAGATGATATAGTAGCTGTGATGGCACTATATCATTATTGCCTTGCTTTCTTTTTTTCCCCAGGCTGGCAGTTATAGTTCACACACATGACTCCGAATACACTTTTTACAAAATCTTTTGGAGATACATTAAGAAGTCAGCAAATGACAGAAAACTTGTCTTGCTCTGTGGCAGGAGGAAAAATGGAGCATATTATGATAATGCAGAGCAATGCAGGCATTACACAATACAAACAATGCTAAACAGTATCATTTAAAGAAAACACAAAGCAGGCATTGATTTTTAATATCTGCATTAAAGGTCTCCATTCTAAGTAATTACATTTAGTAGGAAATATCTTTAAATGATGTCATGCCTATTTACAAGGAATTAGGAGAATATATACAAACGAGTGCAGGAAAAAACATTTTGCTGTGGCCATTTTTTGAAATACAATTCCTCCCCCAATATTTAAAGCAGGCATTGCTACAGCTGCTACAAAGAATACTGATTAAAAGAGGGGGGTTGGTTGGTTTGTATTTTAAAACCAAATCTTTAGAGATTTTCTTCCCTTGAGGGTGAACAATTGGCCAAACTCTCTCATCTTTTTAGCACTTCAAAAGCCTGCTTCCATGCAAACGTACCCACCTGAGTGCTTACTCTGGAGACCAGACGAGAGACAGGCAGAGGGTTTTCAGAAGAGGGGAACAAGCACATATGCCACACAATATCCACATGCTAAAGGGAAAGACTACTTTTGGACCTGGGGAAACCACTGGCAAGGTCTACCTATGGATACAAACTTTATTCATGGATCAAGCAGCTGTCAGGTGAGATAAAGCAGATTATGATGTTCTCTAACCAGCCTTCATCTTTAGGGGGAAGCCTGGCTTAACCCCTGGGCCAGTACAAAGACTCCCATGAGGAGTCTTGCTTCCTCATCAAAATTACTGTCCTGTCCCATGGAAGAGCTCCCTTTTAACTGTACCACCAGTCCAGCAGGTCACGTGGATATTTCAGCAGTTTCCAGGTATTGCTGAAGATGGCAATGCTTGTGGTTTTGTAGGGCAAAGTCTGACTTGCTCAAGAAAACACCACCAGAGGCAGGGCAAGAGAGGAGGGGGAAGCCCCTCACAAAATGGGAGCCAGATGGTTGGAAGGGAAAATCTCCTTGCAAGATCAAAAATACACCCCCCACAGGTTTCCGTTTAGTTTTGAACCCTGCTTGCTCTGCCTCAGCATTTGAATAAGGCTAAAAGCGTGGACCGAGATCCATCACTGGCTGTAGCACCACCAAACCTTAGACTCGTGCTCTTTGCCACAGGACAGGAAGAAGCTGAGGAGCCTATTAACCGTCTGGCAACATCAAACCCTATTGCTCTCAATAACACAACAATCCTTGCTTTGCAGCAGGTGTTCAGTGATGCCTGCAAATTAGCTCTAGGATACAAAGCATTACAGGGACACCTACTACAAAAAACAAAACAAAACAAGAAAACCCCCACAATGATGGCTGCTTTTGTTTTGTACATCTTTGAGCTCTACAAAAACACACAGAGGGTAACTACCTGGAAGTCCACTGTCAACACTGGTCCACTGAGTATGGAGAGCAACTTCCACCTTAGCCAGCTACCTCAAATCACTTCCCAAAGCTGACAGGCAACGGCCTGCATTTGACCTCCTACATTTATACTCTGATATACTCTATATCTCAAACTTTTAATTAAAAGGAAAAAAAAAAAAAAAAAAGGAAGTTAATCCAAATCAATTCAAATGTACCGTTTCTCCCAATTACTGTGGAATGCAGAGGTCATCATCATATTGCATCATTACATTGAGGAATAATCTAGCATGAAGTACTATAAATTAGCTTAAATAGCTTGTGTGTTTTCATCCATAACAGCGTATTTCATAAAGATATACCACTGCTTTTCTGTGTACAAGGATCTAAATTGAACAGGCGCATTACATCTATTTTATATGAACTTTAATGAGAAAAGGCTGATATGAACCCCCCTCCGCCTATCTACAAAGTTTAAACATTATGCCACAGAAGAAAAAAGAGATCTTATCTGGTGGCTGCATATTAGGCCCTGATGCTTCAGATTGCCTTTTTTGAGAAATGCACCATATTGCTGACATTTCTATTCAAAACAAGCTTGTGTTTTATAGAAAACGGTTCAACATTTACAGTGACATATATAAGAACAGCACAGGCAGAAAACTCTAAAATGTAATTTACAACTCAATCTAAGGAATCATCCATTTTAAAAGAAACTATAACTGCATGAAAAGAACAACCCAATCCCTAGATTTTTATCAAAGGATATTAGTAGGATACTTTATATCAAACCCCAAATACCTTAGGTACTTTAATGTCCCGACAGTGGATCACCTTTCCACAAACACTACCATAATGCATCTACATGCTATTAACAAGTAAGAACTCTTCTAGAACCTATGTTGCATGCTGAGTTCTTTACAGAAAATAAAGTAAAATCAGAAACAGAGCTCCATCAGTTTTGTTTTGGATCACTGGTGAGTGCATACATAATGACTTCCACCTCTTGAAACCTCTCCGCTTCATTCTTATGCATAGACTTGAAGGGACATTTATGTGTTTGGCTTGTTGCATCAATTCAGAGGACAGAGTTACTGTAAAAATTTACATTACTGCAGGCCTGTAGTGATGAAGCAGGCAAGCATGAGAAATAAGCTTTTATTGCATTTATTTTAGATTTGATGGAAAGAAAAGTGTAGTCATTTGGTATGACAATACCCACCATGAAATTTGATTTGTTTATCGATTAAATTACATTCTATTTAAGCAGATTTTTTTTTAAAAAAGTTGACATTTCAAGATAAATCACAAATTTGACCTATCCATCCAGATGGTGTTTCTCCTGAATTGATCATGTATTTCAATTTGCTGTACCCACTTTAGTTTATGGTTGTGACATGCAATGCACCAAGGACACTTACTGAAACTCAAAGTTAATTTGAGTAAAACAGTATTTTATATACTACTCTCCACACCAAACTCTTTATTAAAAATGGGAAAAAAACAATTTTCATTTCTCCTGTAATGCATAAACTTGCCTGTAACAAAGATGACACTTTTTTTAAAATGGATATACAGAATTCTTTAATAAACAAACACTTGTAAAAATCTTGATGGCTTAGTTTTACTGTAACTCACTACTCTGTTGAAGGTCTTGGAATCACAGGTGGATCAATCCTTTGGTGCAGATAGGAAGGGGAAGGACAGATTTTTAAGAACTAAGTAGCGCTAATTTTCAACTAAGGGTACAGCTCGCTGGCAGCTTGACCTCTGAGAGCTTTTCCCCCATTCCTGCCAAGAGCGTTTTTCCTGTCTTTTTGAGGCGCAGGCTGAGTGAATTTTGGGCTGGAAGAGTTCCCTGAACCTGCATGCAGTTGCAAAAAAGAGGACAGCACAGCCCAGGGATGGATTTAGATGGCTGAAAATACTATGGGTCACCTTGGTTTGAATTGCACCACGTTTCCAATACTTAGCATAAGCTTCAAAACCCTAAATTCCCAGACACGTCACTGTTTCTTATACACAACGCTACTCCCATTCATCTGATTCTTCTTGGTTTATTTCTCACCTCTGTTATTCCAAAACACTGAAGCCAGAAAAACACTCAGTCCCAAAATCAATTTTAAATGTATATTCTGGATTCTTATTATTGGGTTTTGTTAATTTTCAATCTTTTTATGAAGTTATTCAAAGCTGAAAAAGAGATTTCAGATTCAGCAGGTTTTCTAAATCTTTTTTTTTTGTCTTATTAAAACTACTGTATTACTAACGATAGCAAACCAGGTTATAATATAGTTGATCTAAGGCTACAAATATTTGCTTACAATACAAGTTATAAATAATAGGAATTAAAATCATTGTTGATACCTGTGGTTAAAGGCAGATGAGTGACAGTAGTTAGACAGGTGAGAGTGAACCAGGTTGACGCTAACGTTGCTCCAGATAATAGCAGCAGCAGTATGAACTTCAGCATGCCCCTGATAAAATCTGCAAATCTAAAATAAAAGCACAGATCAGAGCAGTACAAATGCTGATTTTCATATTATTTAAACGCGATGCTTGACAATTAATTCAGTGCATTCTCATTAAACATTTTGGAGACTATAAAAACAATTTAAAAATAATTTCTCATTTTCAGAAATAGAAAAAAGGCATTTTTATAGAATGGTGATATTTCTAGCTGTCAAGCTGAAGAGCCATGGATTTTCTAGCTGTCACAAAATAACAACCAAACCAGAACAATTCTCAAGGCATCAATTGAAAACACTTGGTATACAGGAAGGGTTTTTTTTTTTCTTCTGCGTTTGTTGGACACAACATCACACCACTACTTACATCGCTGTTTTGTCAGTGTTTGCCAGTCTCCCTTGGCAGACACACCGCTCAATTAGCATATGAGGAGGCTGCTGCATTTCATTCAAGACATAGTTAGTGTCAAGATTCATTCCTGTGGGAAATGACAAAACTCCAAATACCAGAATCCCTAGATCAAAGATGACAAGGAACAGCTTCTGAACCCTTGGATACATTGGTGATGAAGCTCTCGGTGGAGAGCAAAGGAGGAACTCTTTACACAGGCAGTCACTGCCAGTGGCTGTTTTGGGTTGAAATGTTCCAGAAACCAAGAGCTTGGTGCTACTCCTCTCCTACACATGCCTTACTGACAGTCTGGGGGAGGACAGCCCCACAAGTCCTCAGGCAGTCTGGCTGCTATACAGAAGGAAATATGATCTTTATATCACCTGATGGCACAATTGCTTTTTTCATCTTTTTTTTTTTTTTCTTTTTGTTTCAAGGAGACATAACGCATTTGAGCAGCGCTCACATGGCATAATTATCAGTGCAACTGCTCTTTTCAAAAGGGATTTCAACACAGCTACTAAAAAAGATATATTAGAAAAGGCAATGCCATTTATCCACTAGTAATTTTCTATAATCTCCTGCTTAGGAGATGTGATTTTGGGCCAGATGGGTTAGGTATGTATGTCTAAAGAATGTCTTCTGCCCTCATAGCCTCCTACCTCGATTGGCTAACGGCAGCACAACCCACCTAGGTTGGTCCATGATGAAATCTGCACCGTCTGCCAGCTAACTGCCTTCTCTCCCCTAACAAAGATCACTTTACAGGCAGACACCATATAGCTTACTTGATAGAACAGAAAATGCTACCAACGTTTTGAGAACTAGGAAGCCTAGCTCTATACACACTATAAAAGATGTACAAGTAATGCAATAAGAAAAAAATAAAAAACCACTTCTTTCCTCTTATTTTGATTCTCCCTGTGCTTTAATTCCACATTGAATTTAGCAGTGAGCAATTCAACAAGCAGTAGAGGAAGATCAATGCTGCATATAATCTTAAAAGTTTATGACTGCAGTGTTCAAGTGGCTTATGCATTAATCTCTAATAGTCAGAGGTTAGCTGCTACTGTTGTTTTTTTCTGACAATCCAAATGCAGCAATCAGAATCACCTCTTCTCAGTGGTTTGCCAGTTTCTTTAATTATTCTTTGGGGATCACTGGGGTCAAAATCAGCAATTTTGAAAGCTTCTCAGAAGAATCTCAAAGTGCAAACTTCAGACTTCTTCCACAGAGACTCCTCGCTTTGCCTGCCAGCAAACATCACTATTCCCTCTCCTTGCAGGCAAGAGCAGTTACGCATATCCTGACTAATGAAACACTGGGAGAAATATTAGCCTTCAGGGAGCGACATTCACAGACAACAGGTCTGGAAGGGATCTCTAGGGCGTCCTCCATCTCTACCCTACCACCAGGGATATGTGGGGATGGGAGGATGATGCACATCTAAACCATGCAAGACAGTTAAACAGAGCAAATATCTACCTTTACTGAGCAGTTGCAACGCCTTTTGACACAAAGATCCTGATTTGGGTATCAGTGTGCTCCAAGGAGCTCTCAGGTATCACAAGATTCCTGAAGGGTCAAATACAAACTGGAAGGTTTATGCAGCTACTGAATTCAGCCAGCAACAGAAATAATGGGAAAAAATGACATAGCAAACTAGCCTGAATTTGGTATTCAAGGGACTTCTGCTTCTTGGCTGGTTATGGGAGAAAAAAGACGACCATAAATCTAGTCAACTCTTCAGAATACTTGTTTCAATCGAAAAAAGGAGAAATTATTTTTATCCTCTGACCCCAGCATCTGCTTTCAAAACTCTCTGTTCTGTTTAAACCCTTCTTCATCATCTAGCATGTAAGGGGATGTCTGCAGTTGCTAAAAAAGTGGGAACGCCAGGAGAGAAGGTGTATACTTACCCAGACACAGACCTCTGAGCCTACTGCTGGTAACGGTCTCCTGCAACCCAGCAAATCCAGCCCTAGGCTGGATCCTACAGTTAAAATCACAAACCTGTGTTGCTGACAACACTGTCTGTTGCTAAGGAAATTATCATCATGTCATAAAGTTTCAGCACTTCGACTACACCACAGGTTAAAAGCAGGAAGAAAAACTGAGCCGTGGAGGACAAAACCTCAGAAATATCTACAATCATTAGCAAATGTGGCAAAAAAAAAAAAAGCTGAGAAAAGGGAATAGATTTATGTTTGCTTGTAATGACATGAATGTCACTTTTTGACACTGCTTCTCTTTAAACCAGTATCATTTGAAAACTGCCAGCTGCCCAAAATAGCCCAGGCTTTTCAATTATAAAAATGCATCACACAAATTAGCTAAACATATCTAAGTTCACGGCTATCGGGACAGCAGTGAGTGGAGAGCGGGAGGATTTATGCATTGTGCTGAAGAAAACTTGCACCATTTTGAAAATGAGATAGATAAACAAATTTCCAAACTGGGCATAACTTTAAATATAGATGATTTAACACCTACTGTGACATGCAAGACCAAATGCTCCAGGGCAAGGCTCAGGTTGTTACAGTTCTAAATGGCAGAATCTCTATTGGCAAAAAATGGAAGGAGCAAATTCCTAAACGGCACCAATTTTGCTTTGATAAATTAGCAGGAAAAAAAAAAAATTAGAAAAATACAACCCCAAAACCCAACAGCTTCTTGAGAGGTGGTTAAGGGAGAGAGCTGCTTGCTTGGCAAATCACAGTTCTGACACTGAAATACATCAACTTGTCAGCCTTGACAAGAATCATTACTTAATTTTCCTAATTACAACTTTCAGCAGATTACAGTCAGACTCGTCATTGATTCAGCCCTACACAGATAAATGCTGAATAGGCCTAGGAGGGAGAGTCATCCATCAGGAGTGACAAATCACCTCCTCCCTCCCTTTCTTGTGTGCAAACCCTCCCATTTGAACTATGTATCGCCCAAGTTAGAAAGACATATTTGGAGACAGATTGTTGGTATTTTTTTAATTTACTCAAAAGCAAAGCTCTGAATGCTACAAAACACTGGTATTCAACAAGGTTTGAAATCACTTTTGAAGCAGTTAAAGAGACTGTCAGCATTTCCTGAAACTTAACCCAGGCAATATATTAAATAAATTAATCTACCATAAAGATTGAGATTTTCATGTGGGCATTGAGTCAGCAGATTCTCTCCTAACAAAGTTAAGTGAGCTGCTAAGGGTGCCCCTCTAGTACTGAAATGTTGCAAATATACGAGAAATTAACCCATGATGGAAAGGATTAAACCGGCACACTACCTGCTTCAGCATGTAACCCGCTACAGTATCTTTGTCATTTACAGAAATTGGTTTTAAACATCTACTTCTCTTAGAGAGAAAACCTCATATCTGAGCTTAGCTAATCAAAAGTAACTCTTTTTAGAGGAAATCAGGGTGTGAACTTTGTTTCAATAGATTAAGTCCTTCGGCCTGCATCTGGAGCAGACAGGAGGGAAGCGCTTGTTTCTTTTCCCTAGGTCAGGAGTTTTTTCCACTCCCTCCGTCGCAGTTGCTAGGCAGCCTGCAAAATGTCAGGATGAGAAACATCACATTTCTTTTATGCATTGTGTACTCCAATGATGCACAGCAAGTGAAAAAAAAAGAGAGCTTCCATCTCTGCCCTAAAAAGATGCCTCTTTGCATCCACAATCCCAGAATGACTGCAATGACGACAGACCCCTGCACTTGTGCTAAACTCATTGCAGAACTGGAGTCTAAATAGTGGACATAAAGAAGCCAGGACAATGCTTTGATACCCACCAGAAGCAAGGGGAACATGTGATTGGTTTTAATCACTTTTATAAACTCACTGCTTGAGTACCTCCTGAAAGACTTTTTCTTCCTTCCCCCCCACCTTTTTTTTTTTGTTTTTCTAGAAAGAGACCCTCAATGAAGAAAAAGCAGCAGCCTTGTGGAAGGGCAATCCATTCCTTGCTTTTCTACTCCCCGTGTCAGTGTTCATGATGGCCAGAGAGACCTGTATCTGAAAATTTAAAAACCGTAGGTATAACCATACCACCCATAGCAGTATCGCAAAAAGTATCTAGGCCATATAGGAGTCCAGCAACCTGGCGAAAACGGGCCCAGACTAATTTCTCTGTTGAGGAACGTAAGGTTATTGTGTGTAGGTGCTTGTGCTACATTCCCAATATCCCTTCGGGAATCAATATGCCCAAAAGTACTGATGGAAGGAGACAGACACTAATTTCTTCAATGCTTTCCAAATGTGCTACAGCGGGTTCTCCCTCATACCAGGCAGCTGAATTCACAAGAACTGTGCTTAAGAGGAGCATACAGGAAGCACTTGTCAGGAGTAACAGTATGACCTGCCAAACTGAGGCACATGCATGTGGAGTTCTCAACCCCCAGCGACCACTAAACATGGAATATACAAATCATTGCTCTGCAAGAAACACATCATAACCCCAGAACTTTTTCCATTTCAAGTATCTAGAAGATGAGAGAAAACAAGCTACGTTATTACGAGGATAAGCTAAATGACAATCACAGTTGAAGAAATGGAGAAGGATGTGTAATTATTCTTACCTCGCCATTGCTATGCCAACAACACAACCTCCAACTATAGACCAAAATCCAATCCAGCCTGCATCTACCTGACAGGAAAAAACAAAACAAAACAAAACATAGAGAAATGCGTTAAAGCTGAGAAAACAAGATGATAAGATGTTACTTTCAAAACAAATGGTGTGCAGGAGCTGCAAACTGCTAGCAACAGCCTCGGACAACAATCTGAAGTGCAAGACATTTTCTATGATATTCAAAAGGAAATAAATTCACTAAAAGAAAGTATGACTAAGTAGCCTATGCCCTAAATGTGACCTCTCTTTATAGAATCTGAGTAATATCCTCTGGATTTTTATCATATTCTATCAAAAGCTTAGAAATCCTCTTCTCCCCACTTCATCTTTTCCACCTGGTAAGCATTATTTTCTTTTACTAAAGGTGCAGCAGCCAACAATACTCTGGTTTGTTTACCTGCCTCTTCCTTCTTCTTAAAAGGTGCATACAGATCTGAAAATACCCACTGCTGGTGGAGAACTGTTACAGTTTGGGATGCCAAAGCTACAGTTTATTTTGTTTAAAATTTCAGGAGAAAAGTGGTCCGTATGTATTAATAGCAGGTTAAACGTAAAAACCTGATAAAACTGTATGCTAATGCAAAATAAAACCATGCCACTTACAAAATAACTGCTGATTATCAGTCAGGAGATACTCACTTGGCTTACATGAACTGGAGTTAATATCAAATCCAGAACACCAGACCAGCCAGAGAAAACACCCAGTGGTATAGCATAGGCTAAAGCAATCATCAAGAATCGGAAATTGCTGTGAAGACAAAACATATGCAATTAGCTGCAGTTTATATTAGAAATTGCACCATGATTAGCTGCTAGAGTAAATGACACCCTAGAATCTATATTCTGCCCATCAAGAAAAATAGCAGAGGTCTGAAGGAGTGAGCCAGGAAAACCAAGAAAGGTATCTGGCCATGTCAGTGAAATTCCAGTGGCTGAGATGTTACTGCCTTAGCACTGTGATAATAAAAAAAGCCAGTCTCTCCACATAGTTCAAAGATTTTTATAACATGCTGGGCTCATGTGTTTCTCATTTCTGCAAGCAATTCTTCTGCACTTGCATGGGCAATGTACTTAGCCTAAGAGTATGTTAGGAACAATAAGCACTAATTTAAATGACAAAAAGCATATTTCAAGAATCAAATCAGAGATTTATACTTTTTGAACTATACTTTTTTTTTTTTTTTTTAAACTCAACTCTTTATTTTGGTGAAAGGCAGGGAGAGCTCTGGGAATGAGATGGGTACAGTTGCAAGAGTGGAAAATTTTGACAGTTTGAAGTGTCAAAAACCAGAGAAAAGTATGATAGTCTGCTCTAAATAGTCAACATGTTTGCTTTTTTCTCTCAATTAGAATTATTCAACCTTTAGTATTCAGTGAAGATGAAGCAGACAAAGCTGTGTCATCATCTTCATCATACACAGCTAAACAGGAGTTGGCAGACAAATACCACCACCAATTTCCCCCACCCACCCACCATAACTGAAAGCAAATGCACAATCTTTGCTAAGAGACACCCGACTTTACCTCAAAAAGGTTTCAATTTGGGAATGAAACAGAAAATATACTTTGGACTCTGCAACACTAATATTTTAAAGTGAAGAGATTTTACGGTGATTCCAAGGTTATCCCATGGGATATCTGTGTAACCACAAAATGTGGCTCCCCCCATTCCCAAAGAATTTACATAAAATTGATCCGGATCTGTACCAGTTCCTTGGCATACAGCGGCAATTTGATAGCACATAGTTACTAAAGCCAAGAGGGAGGGAATGAGCTTCAAGTACTCTCCAAAACATTCAGAGGTTTGCAGCTTACGCTGCTTTACTCCCCTAGAAGATCCACGCACAGCACACCAGCCAGCATTTTTTTGCACTGTTCTTTTTCACACATCCTCTTCTTGAATAACACATTTCTATCACATGCATATATCCTCTTCTTTCAGTATCATTCATGTCAGATTTATTTTTTTAATGCAAAGAAAAACAACTTCCAAACTTTCAGCTCTTCCACACACTGCTTATATTTCTCCGAATTCTAAAATGTTTGCTGTCTTACTGACAACTTTTTTCCTCTATTAATAATGCCATACTCTTATCCTAGTCTATCTGTATCATCTTGGCATCTTTTAAGGCACGTTTTCTGATGATATTTAATACTGTTCATGTAAAAGCTAATTCAACATCTGTAGAATAAAATAAAAGGGAAAGTGCTCAGTTTGCATGGACATTATATAGCCATGTCATAGACTGCAAAGAAGGAACAAGTCTGAATGCACTCTTCAAAAAGAACACTTGCTCAATATTCAAAATCTTTGGCTATCTGAACCTTGCCTTCATCTAAGAGCTGCTTTTGGTGCGGGTGAGTACTTTGTAACTTACTTGACCAAGATCTCCTGTGCTGTGTAAGTCTTTGTCCTGGTTTTGGCTGGGATAGAGTTGATTTTCTTCCTAGTAGCTGGCATAGTGCTGTGTTTTGGATTTAGGACGAGAATAATGTTGATAACACACTGATGTTTTAGTTGCTGCTGAGCAGTGCTTACACTAAGTCAAGGACTTTTCAGCTTCTCATACTGCCCTGCCAGCGAGGAGGCTGGGGGTACACAAGAAGCTGGGAGGGGACACAGCCAGGACAGCTGACCCCAACTGGCCAAAGGGATATTCCATACCATATGATGCCATATCAAAAAAAAAAAAAAAAAGAAATGGGGGCAGTTGGCCAGGGTGGTGTGGCCGCTGCTCAGGAACTGGCTGGGCATTGGTCAGCGATTAGTGCTGACAGTGCGCAACTGCATTGTGCATCACTTGTTTTCTATATTCTCTTATCATTATTTTTTTTTCCTTCCTTTTCTGTCCTATTAAATTGCCTTTATCTCAACCCATGGGTTTTACCTTTTTTTCCGATTCTCTCCCCCACCCCACTGTGGGGACAGTGAGCAAACAGTGTTTAGCTGCCTGCCAGGTTAAACCACAACACTCTTCTGTAACTCAAGCAACGAGACAGACTGGCACATGGAGTAGTGCCACGTGCAACTCCTAGTCCCAACACTAAAGAACCAGCTCTGCATCATGACATCCTCCAGTGACAGAGGCTACCACCCTGACTAGTCTCCAAAATAAGGAAGCTGACCAGGAGAAAAGCTGTATGGCAGTGACAAAGCGGCACCAATCACCAGATGTCATTCTGTCCACTTGTCCAGCAATAGCTAATGCTGGCTATATTAGGTGCTAAAGCTATTTGAAACATACATCTTAAGTAGCAGCTCCGTTTTTCATGGCTCCAGTCACTTGTATTGTTTCTGCAATTTTGCAATTGCTCCACTGAAAATAGAAAAATGTGCTGTCTGTCACACCATCAGTTGGTGAACCCACACTATTTTCCATCGTATCAGCCCTTATGACAGGATATCAGCATTAGCCTCTGATAAACCACTCTGCTGGAATACAAATTGGCTTTTTCTTCTGTTTTTTTCAGAAACCTACTTAATGCCACTAGAATCCATAAGACAGGCTGGTTCAGAGGGGAGCCCCATCAAAGTCAGTTACCATTTTCAGAAGAACTTTGACAGCACCTATTAACATCAGGCACACTCTGAGCAGCTTCCATCACTGGATGGTGATGTCATATGAAAGTTTCACAAAAGAAATAATGATGAACAAAAACCCTATTATGAAATTTCAAAATTGCTTACCTAGTCCCTTGAAAATATAAAAGGCATGTAACCAGCTAGAAGCATCCAATTACTTCAAAGCAAAAATCAAGACATATTTTCTTAATGCAGCATTTATCTTATTGACTATTTACTTGTGTTAGATTTTTTTCCATGGAAGTTTGTGGCATATCCTGAAATGTGGGGTCGGGGCGGGAGGAAGGAAGTCATATTTGCTTCACCCAAGAAACTGAGAAAGGGCACCATGGTTTTTCTAATGGAAATTCAAACTATACTTGTCACAGTGTGTGATAGACTGTTAAAAGATTTGGGCTTAGCTCCCAAACCATGACTAATCTGACACCTCCCAATGCAGTCTGAGAGAGTTGGTATCAGGAGATAACCAGAGAGCTGCTAATCGTTAGAATCTGCCAGAAGCAGGAATCCTCCAAATCAGAAGGAAGAACCAAGTTCCTAAGCAAGTCCCCAAAAAAGGGCCTACAGGGGATGGTTGACCCTAAGAAGATATTTATAATACAACTCTGCAAGAAGCAGCTCATGAAGACGACTGCTCAAGGAGCTGAAGGCATGAAGGAGTGTGAGAGTTGCAAGGATGTGATAGATCCCTTTGGTGTCCAAGGAAAAAGGTCAATGACTTCAGTGGTAAAGTTATGCTACGCAACTTTATTTTGAAGTAATAAAAATGCAGCTGGGGGAGATAAGAGGGAAATGATGAACATCTCAATTCTCATGTGTGTTTTTTGGTGCATAGTTGGGTCAGCCCACCAGCTCACACACATAAATGCCTTACACACAGTTCTCATACCAGAGGGTAAGTCTGCAATAAAGGGCAAATCATGATTTCCCAGTACTCACCAGCAGAATACCTTCAGTCTACACCATTAAGTCAAAAGAAAGACTCTCTGTGCCAAGAATTATGAGGCCTAGATTAGGCAGGCAACAGAGCTTAGAAGCCTAATGAACCAGATGATGGATTTCTCTTGAAGGACAGCAGATACCATTTTCTTTTCTAGAGTCCCCTTCCTTGATGGATTGTTGCTGAAAGGATTCCCAAGGTAAGTGGTTTAATGATGAACTGTTGATTGTTTCATGTACAGAGGAATGGAGAAGTGCCTTTGATAACGGGTAGCATGGAGAATGCATAAAGACCAGAGGGAAGGGAGATATAATGATCTACCTGACCGCATTTTTAAAAACCTCTTGGTTCTTGGAGACACTATAAACTATGCTCATTATTTAAGCATCCAGTTTGTTTTCTTAAGCTTCATTGATTGTGAACAGTAAGCCAGCTTTGCTGTTTACCTCCTGACCTTACCAGTATCTCAGGTCCACTGTTTGCAACACTTTGAACAAGGAATCTAAAGGCTATAAAGCTCCCAAATGGAGTACTGTCAACAGAAATTTTGTATTTCACCTGCAGAGTCAGTTGCTGTTTGGATTTTTGTTCAACAGCAACATTTTTACAACACAGCCCTCAGGCAGGGTCTCACTGCATGCTAGCTTGGGTGCGTAACAGCATTATTGCGTGTGCTAAGTGTTCTTATGGGAATTGCTATTTTTTCATACCCTGAGAAGGTCACTTTGCAGACTAACCAGCCAGCTGTACTCACACCTTCTTCCAACTGCCAGTCTGCTCCTGGATGAACACATAGGATTAAGCATCTTGTCAACTATTTACTCCCCCAAACTGAAACAAAAGCCTTCAAAAACAAAAGAAAAAACCCAACAACAACAAGGGATGAGTTGTTTTTGCTGGCTTTAAATACACTTTTAAAAAGTACAGCCCACAATAGGTCTGTAATAACTAAATGCCTAAAGCTCCACAACTATCAACTTTCAAGCAGCCCTTTGTATGCAGATTCAGCTCCTATCAATACATCACCCAAGAAACAATTACAGCAAGAGTTTGAAGCTCTCCAGTGAAGTCAGCCATACTCTGCACCATGGCAGCAGCTCTTCTTTGCCCCAGGAAGTTCATCTGTGCAGCATCACATACCGGGCACAGGCCTTCACAATTATTCAGCATTAATTTTACAGTTGCTTTAGCTGTTCCCATTACACAAGACATTGTACAGACACTGGGGGACAGGACTGTGTCTTACCAAAAGAGCCCAAATGGGAGAAGTTGCAAAGCTGGAGATATCACTTTCTTTATAACCTTTTTTTTTTTTTTCTGGAACCTGTCCAGAAACATATCTGGAGACACTTCTCCTATACCCACTTCATATCTTAACATACAATTAATGAGATTTAATAGATCATATAACGGTTTCAGATAGTTCTTTCATTGCTCCCATGGCTGAAGGGAAGCAGCTAGATATTCCTTTGAATGACAAGCAAACCCCAAATTCATTCCAATATAACAAGCATGGAAGACAGCAGCTTATTAGTTAGTTATGCCCAATGTTGTTAACTGTTATCTCACACCTAGTAGTATGCACACTGTTAACAATCTTGTATAACCTGATGGAACAGAAGCATTGCGTGAGAAAAGCCATGCTAACAGGATGACTAAAGCAGCGCTGGTTCTGAAGGACTCGGGTACGAAGGCTTGAGATATACCCAAATGATTTAAAATTTAATGTCTGATTTTAAGCAGTTAGCATCCTTTTATGTCTCAGCATTAATATTTAATTTGATTTTGTTTAAAAGCACTACAAACCAACTTGTTTGTTCAATGAGAAGATTAAAGCACACTTGTTTTTATTTATTTAGGTGCTGATCTGCTTTGAAGTGGAAACCCAAGGAGGACCTACCTTAAGAGTCGGCAAAAACTTCTCCTGTAGCTGAGCCGTTGACTCGCCGCAGCCACGCTGGGAGGGAACGGAGGGCGCGAGGGGAAGTAGGCCAACGCTGCGGAAAATATCAGGGAAACCATTCCAAATTCTAAACAAGAGGGCAAAGAAAAACAAAACCAAGAACAGATGTTAGCATCGAAAGACTTATTTCAGTACAGCATTGTTATCAGGCAGCCTCTGATACATCAATCCCACCACAAGTGCTTTACTGCTCCTGACAACAGAACTCCGTAACTTGAAGAAGAATTTCTTTTTTCCTCCCCAAGCAAGATTTCAAATTGAGATGGAGAATCAATGAGATGGAGAAATACCGGCAGTCCACTCCAGTGACAGGAGCTGCAGAGAACCAGGCTCACACATGGGGAACTCAGTTAAGCAAAAGGAAAGCTTTTGTTTTTTCTCTTTAGAGAGAACTTTATTATGAAGATTTGGCCATGTTTTCTCGCAATGGAAGTAACGCAGTACAGGTAACAGCATGCTAGAAACTTCAAACAGATGGGACTGGGGAAGCCCCAGGGCATGGAATGACAATTATTCAGCACACAGGATGATGAAGGCAAACGAAAAGGTCCAGCAAGGCAGCATCTCGGACACAAACAGTATTACATGGCAACAGAATATAAAGAGAAAAGCGTAGGAACAGTCATGGCTCAGGAATAGAAAGAGCAGAGGGAACAGGGAGGAAAATGAAAGAATGCAGCTGTTTGCAGATGCTCCTCTTGTTCACCAGCAGGTGTTCTAGATCTTTGAAAAATTTCATAGCAGAAATTTGGACCTGAACTTGCAAAGTGATGATCACTTCGCAGAAAATACTCAGCAAGCCCAGTGATCAGACATTCCAAGGAAAAACAACTCTACCCGCAGTCAGCCTAATTAATTTGTTTTGCAGGCCTTTTACAATGTATATCATGTTCTCTACAGTCCTCAATCCCAATATTTCTCCTATCCCCTTTGAAAACAAGATTCTTTGCTGCTGGAGAGAAAAATGTATAGCTGAAGTGTGTTATCTTAAAAGAACCTGTGATCTTATAACAAAGAAGTGTTCACCGACACCACAAATAAATTCCAGCAGAGCTGGATACTCAATTGCGTTCATTTTCTTTTTTCTTCTCTTTTTTAATAAATCAATATGAACATGGCACTTTGCCAGCTCTTCTGCTAAACCAGAAGAAAATTCAGGAAACTGAAAAGTAAATAACACTTGGAGTCTAAATGGATCAGCTGGAGATGGGGAAGGGAAATGAATGCTTCTATTTGGTATACGGAAAAAAGATCTACACTAAATTTCTTTTGAAGGCATACTGGGAATGTGACAATTCCATTCTTCACAATCAGATACTAGAGGATTCATTTTGAATTATGTGGTGTCTCTTTTCCTGCTGTGGTCTAATTGCTAAATGTTTTGAGGGTCAGGGGCACTTTAACTAGACTTTCTCACTATATCTCCCCTGTTCTCCAGAAAATAGATTAATTTCTATCTTTGTGTACATTGTTTTTGAGACCATGAGAAGTGAATAAAGAACTGGCCGTAACTGATCATCCCAGATCTCAGAAAGGGACGAGATGCTTCGTTACTACAGGATGATACCAGACAGGGAAGCAAGGCTTGCAAAAAGCTGTTTATCCCCTTCTCCCACATCTAGGTCTACATACAGGTTTATAGGTATACATAAGTACGTGCATACGCACACTTTAATCACATATTAAAGGAAGATTTCAAACTGCAGACAGGTATAGCCAACAAGAATGTGACCACACAAACCCATATACTTTGTCCAAGGTGCTCATTAAACTTCATTATATTGCAATGCTGTAAGGGGAAAGGCTAGGTCTTTTTCTAAAGAATGTAAAACATGTTGATAATTTTTTTAAGTCACAGTAATATTTTATAAGAGGTGCCCATCTGGGGCCTCTTCTATGGGTTGTCTCAAAATTCCTGCCAGTCAAATTGCTGCAGTAGGAGCAGTATAGTAACACTTCATTTTTTTTTTTAATTATTAAATTCAGCATGCAGTCCTTGTAGTACCTTTTTGCAACTCTTTAATGTTTCCCAGTGTTATACTTTCCAGGCTAACAAATTTGCCTCGCAAGCACTGCCCTCACACACAAAAGAGCAGAATTCACTTTGGAAACTAAAGCAGCTCCCTCTATTGAAGAATAAAATTCTTTAGTGCCATCTTCGCTTTGTGTATCACACTTGCATCTCTATCAAAAGTCCAGGTACTGCCAAACACATCTGATGTCTTACACGTTGCATTCCTTCCTCATTGGGAAACCCACACCTTTATGTTCATCACCATTTACTCTACCAGACTAGATAAAGAAAAATACATTCCCAGGACAAGTTTTAGATTGTAAGTATGGAGTAAAAGTAAACAAAAGAGAAAAGGTAAGAAATAGGTCAATACTGAGACTGAGGGAGCTGCAGTCACAAAAGAGGAGCTCTTCCACAGGAGCTATCAGCTTCTCAACAGCACAACGGATGCAGCAAAACACTCGGAACTGGGCAAGTCAGCATAAATTAGTGTGCAGAAACACAGCCGTGTATATCACTTGTTGAGGAGTGAATCTGAAATGCTTCACAAAAGCTGGGTACCATGCCACAGTGACCTGTGACTGTCAAAGTGGAGAGATGCCTGCATCTTAGCCTAGGAAGCAGGCACCCTGCTGCCTGTGTAAGCCCCAAACGGAAAAAAGAGGTTTACAGAGACACAAGCCTCCTTGATACAAGGTCTTTTTCCTTCAGATAGGCTATTCATAGCACAAAAACCTACCCAAACCCAGAAACCCTCCTCCACATCTTGTCCTGAAACGTAAAGGGGGAAATGAGGGCACCTTACAAACACACACACTTTTTTTAAACTAGTAATGATTTTACATTGATATTTAGGAAAGCACAAGGCTAAAAGCTCTGGCTGCAGTCCAGAATAATTCAAGCTTCTTTATGCAACTCAGGTAATACAATTCAGTCCTGATTTGCTACATCTGTACTATTTCAGCTGTGAACCAGAATGTGCAGCGACACAGATGACACAGAAAAGGCTGTGGTAATTCAGCTGAGCTCTTAGTCCACATTTGAGATAAAGGAACAGCAATTTATTAAAACACAGAAGAGACTGGAGTTAACAGAGCAATTTCAGAATGGGTTTATAAGCAATTGCTTTGTAATCATGTTTGAGGTTAAGTCCTTGGAAAATTAGCACACTCTTGGCATTCTACTGATCCCAAGTTAACAATTCACATCATTACTGTCTTTTAAAAGTCATCACGTAACTTTTGGAGGCTGCTTATCTAACACTACCTCACACAAAAGCAACAAGCTCCATCACAAACACAACTCCGTTAGGAATGCAGAATGCTTATCCTGTGAAACTGGCTTTCCCATAATATCTGAAAGGAGAAGTCATACTAAACCTGACCACAGCTGCTAAAGAAGTGGGTAAGTGGGACATTTGGGTCCAGCTCCTTGTCCTGCTACATTCTGTAACACCTTTACTAGTAATCTGTGAAGTCAATTTGAGCTTCATTTTCTGCCCAGCCGATTAAGGGGACAAGTAGTACCCTACTGCACCTACCGGGTATTTTTTGGTCCGCAAGCAAACAGAGCTGTACAACTACCACGATGCAGTCACCCACCACGAGGCAGCCTTCCTTCCACCTCTGGTGCCTACCTGGCATAACAGAGCACAGGGGATGCAGACAGCGGGGACCTTGCTCCTTCAGCTTTCCAGGGAAACAGGGCTGAACTGAGACAGGACAAATCCCATGAGGGATTCCAAGCAACCTCCTCTTTGACAGCTCCTACCAATTTAAACCAGTTGGACAAAAGTTTTGCCACCATCACTGCAATTCACTGCAGGCCAGTAACGTTCATGAACCAACTCTTTTTCGTTGCCCGAACAGCTAAAGGGGTTGTAGCTCCTGAAAAGACACACCCCGTATGACATAACCACAAGCACAGCTGCGCAAAGAAACCGCCTCTGTTCAATGCACTTTCAAATACTAAGGAAGAACTACAGATGCCCCACAAAACGCATTTCTTAGGAAGCTGAAGAGCTGCTGAAGGATCGTCTTATGCTGGGACCAATGATCCCAAACAGGTCTACGGGATGTTCCCAAACCCTTGCAGGCTCAGAAAGGCAGAAAAAGCCATGCTGAGACACAGGGCAGGCAAGATGCAGCTCTGGACCTTGGTGGCAAGCAAGATCCGTCACAGTTTCTGAAAAAAATGCTTAGGAAAACCTCCCAGAAGAGAACAGAAGAGAAAGTGAATCTAATGGGCTGCTGAAAGCAACGTTTCTAGTGCTACCAGACTCAAACCAGTGGTTTTAGGCACAAAACTGTACTTTCTGTAGGCAGGTGAAGTCTTCTCTCTCCATGGAAATTCTGGAGACGGAGAGCTAAAGTACTTCTCTAATCACTAGATTTTTCCTCCCCTCATCTACTGCTCCTCAGGACAAAAGCTGACTTGCCTTCATGTTTCCTTCTTTCACACTGGCCGTTTTCATCTGCCATAAGATTTTCAGAGTCTGACATCATATTTACCTCTGAAAAAGGCCTAACCGACCCCAAATTTCCTTGTCGTTCCAATACATTTGAGTCCAATAAAAAGTAGGTTACTCAAAAACACTTACTGAACGAGTGATCCAACTTCTACTACGTTTTCTTTAAAATGAACAGTAAAGTGGCCCTCACCCAACAGGAGTATCAGCTCGACAAAATTTCCGTAAGAATAACACCCAGGAATAAATGATCGCAAACAGATAACTCAATCCCATAAACCTGCATATAAACTACACAGTACATATACTTTAAGACTTCAGGAACACTTAAGGCTGACTCCCAGATGTATTTCAGAGGCTGCAATTATAAGGAGGGAAAAACCCAACCAAATGTGCAACTGCCATGATATGGTAAAGTTCAGCTGCTCTTAATGCTATATCAATTTATATCCACTAGGAACCAGATCATAGACTCTTCAGCCACTTGAGCAACTCTTTTTCCTTAAAGCTTGCTGCTAATTTTTGTACGTGACACAAAGAGCCGTAGAAGCCATTGCATGAAAAAGAACAAGGACATAAAATGTAAATTATACCAGGTGAATTATATATCAATGTTTTTTTCCTCTAAACTGTTGTCACTTCATTGAAATTACTCACGACATAAGAATTATGTGGTTTTAGTTAAAAACAAAATCTACTGAGTTTTCATTTCATTCTTAAATACTAATAATCTAATCACATTTGAAAGCTGTATGCAAGTCATAAATTAAGGCTGATTTAATGCAGGAAAGAATTTAATGCTGAAGGACTATTGGATTTCCATCCTTACAGAAACAAAAGAAGAAAACCCAACCCGCCATGGACACATTTTTTAAATGAAAATTCAAGGAGCAAACACCAGTTTGGAAGCTCAGGGAAAGCGTAAGCTCTCCTAGAAGACATTTCTCCTAAGATCTGCCGATACAAACAACTGAAATACTTCATTTGGAATCAGTCTGTACAAAAGGCTATTTTTAAATCTTTCCTACACAAAAGGGGAAAAAAATTAACCCTTCCAATGGTACATTTTACCACTTCATTATTTTCCATCAGTCAGTAACTGTTTCCTGTGCAGACCAGCCACTAGAGGGTAGTGGTTCACAAGACCCAAACACACACATGAAAGTGTGTTAATTTTTTATAATTTTTTTCTTTTTAAAAAATTTTTATTTTTACACCACACCTGCATACAGCACAGCCTCGATGCGGTCCTTGATGTGCTCAGTGTTGCTCTGCGACACCAGTGGGAGGTGAGATGTTCCATTAGGAGATGGCACTATAAGAGGTCCCACTAGAAACGCGCCAGCAGCGCCCAGGTAATTGAGCAGCGACGCGATGGCTGTTGCTGTGGCACGTTCATCCGGAGAAAACCACGTTGTGGAAAGAAATGGTGCCGCGTTCATCACAGTTGGCCCCGCCAAGCCATTTAACAGCTGCCCTCCGTGAATCAGCCTGGAACAGAGAATAGAGACCACAGCCATTTGGATGACAATTGCTGCCTTTTTTTTTTTTTTTTTTTAATTAAAAAAGAATGAAAGTTATTGAGGGCTG